AAAAAAAAAAAAAAACAACAACACAAATTCCAAAGCTACCGCAAATACAACAGGCCCTTAAAACACAGTCTGATGACACACTAGGCAGTTTAACAGATGTTACTCAAATAATTTTTTAAAACTGTATTTTCTTTTTTAAATGGTGTTTTGTTACAAGAGATCTTGAATATGTTTTGTAGGCTAAATTCAAAAATAATGCTTGAATCAGATAGTTCTTTTTCACAAGTCCAATCTGTTTTTCATGTAAATTTTGTTATGTAAAATGAGTATCATATACCAAAATTTAAATGTATGTGTCATTTAACTCTGCCTGAGACTTTCAGTGCACTGTATATAGAAGCCTAAAGGCCATGTAGGAGAAAAAGATTGAATTATTCAGATGATTTGGAAATTTTCATTGAGGTATTTTTAATCGTAACTACATATGTATATACCTATCCCCTCCGATTCTCTTAATTTTTCTTAAAATGTTAACTGGCAGTAAACCTTTTTTGGTCATTCCCTTTTCCATATAAGGAAACATAATTTCGAAGTGGCCAGATGAGTTTATCATGTCAGTGAAAAATAGTTACCCTAAATGCCACCAGAACTTATGATTCTTCGCTTCTCTGGGTTTTCAGTATGAACCTAAACCCCCACCCCACCGTCTGTCTCCCACATTGTCACCATTTCAAAGGGCCCACAGTGACTTTTGCCTGGCATTTTCCCAGATGTTTACAGACTGTGAGTACAGCAGAAAATCTTTTACTAGTGTATGTTTATATATATAAACAATTGTAAATTGCTTTTAGCCCACTTTTCTGGACTGTCTCTGTGGAATGTATTTGTGTGTGATATATGCATGTGTGTGATGGTATGTATGGATTTAATCTAATCTAATAATTGTGCCCTGCAGTTGTGCCAAAGTGCATACTCCAAGTAACCTGCCTGGTCCATTTTAACATGTACCAACCTTCTGCATTCATAAATCTTGTGACCATGTTACCATTACAAATGGAATATAAGAGGCAACATGAAAGTGGATGGGCTGTGGACTAGCAATATAGAGTTTTGTTTGTTTGGTTGGTTTGATCAAGCAGCATTTAGGGTCATATTGTTTCCTGTACTAGAACAAAAGTCATTACACTTTGAAGTATTACATTTTTCTTATCTTCAACTCAGTGTAGTAATGAAATTGCCAGATTGTCTGATGTGTCAGACTTCACCAGACAGATCACTGATAAGAAATTAGGTAAGCTAATTTGTTGGGCCATATTTTAGACAGGAACAGGTAAAATAACATCAGGTTCCAGTTGCTTGAATTGCAAGGCTAAGAAGTACTGCTCCTTTGTGTGTTAGCAGTCAAATCTATTATTCCACTGGTACATCATATGCAGTGATATATGCCTATAATATAAGCCATAGGTTCACATCATTTTGTTTAGACAATTGTCTTTTTTTCCAAGATGCTTTGTTTCTTTCATATGAAAAAAAATGCATTTTATAAATTCAGAAAGTCATAGATTTCTGAAGGCTTCAATGTGCATTTTATTTATGGACTGGTAAGTAACTGTGGTTTACTAGTAGAAATATTTCCAATTTCTACCTTTACTACATCTTTTCAACAAGTAACTTTGTAGAAATGAGCCAGAAGCCAAGGCCCTGAGTTGGCAGTGGCCCATAAGTATAAAATAAAAGTTTACAGAAACCTTGCAGGTGTCTCTTCATTTTTACATAGTTTTCCATAGAAAATGTTTGTTATATAATGCCTGTTACAAACCTCTCCTTAGTAATATCCTGCAAAGCAATTTATTATCAAACAGGTACCTCCTACCTCTATTCTCAACCGACCTATTTTGTTGTACTCAGCATTTAACTCTGTCATTCATTCCTTCATTTACCTTTCCAGTAAGTCTAACTCAGCATCTACTACGCACCAGGCATTCTTCCAGATATTGGAGACATAGTAAACAAAAAAGGCAAAGTCCTGGATCTCATAGAGCTTGCATTCTAGGAAGAAGATAGGCAATAAATAATTACAGTCAATAAGCAATATGTCAGGTAGATGTCTGGAGGAAGAGACTCATATGTATCCAACTGTTTATTTGACATCCACAGTTGGATGGGTAATAGACCATAATATATCCAAAATGAAGCTCCTGATAGCTTCCAGCCTGTACTGCCATAATATTCCTCTGCTCAGTTAAAGACAGCCCCATTTTTAAAGAGTTGTTCAGGATAAAAACTTTGAAGTCATTGCTCATTCCTTTACCTCACACCTTACAGCCAACCTCTCAATAAGTCCTGAGAGTCCTATCTTCAGAATATATCCAGAACCTGACCACTTCTCTGTCTCTGCCTCTACCTCCCTAGTCAGAGCATCATCTTCTCTTGCCAGGATAACTACAATAGGCCCCTGACATGCCTACTTGTTTCCAGCCTTGTAAACAGCTGTATTTCAGTTGGAGCCAATCTCTCCTCTCCCATATGTGATTAGTTTAGGTGGGGCTGACCAGCATCCTCTGGGAGTTTTTCCAGGAAGAACTAAGTCAGAAAGAGCTCTTTTCCTACCAAAGCAGGGATGGGACGTTGTGAGCCTAGGTGTGGCTGGACACTGTGGTGGGGCATTATGAAGAAAGTCAATCTAAAGTCTCACAAAGAAGAAGAGCATTAAAGTCCCCAGTTCTAGTTCTCCTTGACACTTTCTTGTGGCTTCAGTAAACAGACCAACACATTTACCTTTTCACCTACACTACTTAAATCTGGTTTTCTGTTGCTTGCAATACACATATTCTAAGACCATGTCAAATAAGAATTGAGTCATCTTTTGTTATTGTTAACTTAATAGATTTTATGTTTTTTAGAGCAGTTCTAGGTTTACAGAAAAACTGATTCAAAATTACAGATAATTTCTACATGCCCTCCTTTCTCCCCCTTCCCCACACAGTTTCCTCCTATTTTTTACACCTTGTATTAGTGTGGCACATTTGTTACAGTAAACGAACCAGTACTGATGCAATATTATTAACTAAAGATTATAGTTTACATTAAGGTTCACTCTGCTCGACATTCTATGGGTTTGGACAAATGTATAATGTCACATAGCCACCACTGCAGTATCATTCGGAAGAGTCCCACTGCCCTAAAAATCCCCTGCACTGCATCATTTCATCCCTCCATCCATCTCCCTCTTGATTTATCTGTTCACTCAACACAGATACCATGAACAACCATCATATTACATTGCGTTAATAGCTGGCAACAGGAAATCAGATGTATAAGTAAATAAATGCAGCGACAAGCTTAATGGTGACTCAATAGATGTCAGCATAGGGGGCTGGTAAAGGCACAAAGGAAAGAGTAGTCAAAATTCTTTTAACTTCAGTTGGTGAACCTCAGTGGACAAGTATGAGGGCCTTTGCTTCCGTAACTCTCATTTTACTTTGCATGAATGTTATGTCACTGCTAGGAGAACAGCATAAGAATAAGCAATATAGTATTGTCTCTACATTATGAGTTTTTATAAAGTCAATAAATACATATTATTTCCCATTCAAAAGTAAACCCAGTAAAATTAAAATTATCCAAATAATAAAACACAATTCCTAGATATAACTAGGAAATAGCTGAGACAAATGTCAATCTTTGACTAATCTATTACCTTTACTGTGGTTCTTAGGAGTATTACTAGTTCATGAGAAAGCATGGAAAACCTTCTATGTGTAGAGTGAAGGAAACGCACTGCCAGTCTTCCAAAACCACTCCAAGCTCATGATTCTGAGTCTTCTATTTCTTTATTTGTAAAATAACAGAGTACAGCACTGTATTTATTGATTTTACTCTATACTTCAAAGCAAAGTTAAATCAGAGCGCAAGTTCACTATATGCAGTTGAATGTTTCTGAAATTCCAGTGGGGTCTTCACATTGAAAACCCCAGTGGTTTTTTTTAAATAATCCTACATTTGGAAAATCTTCTGCCATACTTTTCTCTAAATGGTAACAAGACAAACCAGTGTCTATATTTGGTCAGCACTGATACACTTTAACTTTTTGTTTCTAAAACTGAAAGGAGACAGACTTGGGTTCCTAGAATCAGGAAAGAATCAACCATTGAAAATAACATTGTAACTGCAAAACTGGGCTTTCTCTATGAGACATGCTGGAATAGTTCATTTTTGATTTGATGAAGCCAGGACTTATTATGTCTCCTAGTTTCCCAAGCTTTTAGCATCAATATGATTAAGTAGATTCTATCATCTGTGTTTCTTTGGGGGAGGTAATAAATTAGGAACAACAGTGCCAACCCTACTTAGGATCGGAAGAGTCATGGAATCTTCCTAGAGGAATATAGAGAATTCCACAAATTTTTCCCTTTTAATCCTAAACCACAGTCCCTTTATCTAATTGATCTACATGGAACTGATCATCTTTTACTTGAATTTGATTCTATGAAAGTAGATACAATTGTATACTTGATGTTGTGTGATAGATTTGTCCCAGATGGGAGTAATGACTCTGCACAGTCTACATTGTACCACATTGTCAGCCAAATCACAGGCCCAAGGCACCTCCAGAGCACAGCTCTGACATTCCATTTTTGTTTGAGTTTTTTATTTGTTTGTTTTGTTTTGAGACAGGATCTTACACTGTTGCCCAGGCTGGAGTGCAGTGGTGCAACCTCGGTTCATTGCAGCCTCAACCTCCTGGGCTCAAGATATCCTCCCACCTCAGCTTCCTCAGTAGCTGGCACTGCAGACACATGTCACCGTACCTGGCTAATTTTTGTATTTTTAGTAAAGACAGGGTTTCCCCATGTTGCCCAGGGAGGTCTCAAACTCCTGAGCTCAAGAAATCCACCTGCCTCAGCCTCCAAAAGGGCTGCAATTACAGGCGTGAGCCACCCTGCTCAACCTCTAACTCA